TTATTATATAATTTTAACCAATATGCTGTCATTTTGCAAGTGGACTCTTTTTAAGAATTTAAGCTCCTCCCTCATATATGCAGGCGAAAAGATCTTCCAGTGGAAAAATAAATTGTGCTTACACTCAGAAAACCAAACGTCCTCCTATTTTGGGAAAAATAAAAGCCTCAGAAACTACATAATTAGTCCAATGAAAGGGTCCTTTTCAACGAGTTAAAAGGAAAAGGAGAGCTAATTCACTTTCCCTGCTTTCCTTTGAGCACGTACAGTTCCAAGGCAAATGAAGGTGATCTATGTCCAGGTTGTCATAGTTCTGTTCTCCCTTATTCTAAAACTTAAGATTCTTTTTATTTTAAAGGAACAAGGATAACTATTAAATCTTCCCCAGCTAAGTAAAACCATGCTGGGTTCTGTGCTATTACAGCTAGTTACCTGCAGCACACAGGTAACTATTCCACAGTTATCTTAGGGCTCTGCATGTCAGTACAATGCAGACACTCAATTTTTAAAATGCTCAGGCTTGAGACAAAAATGTATACCTAAAATTTTCAAGGATGTTTAAAGGAGCAAATGGAGCTACTATTAGAATCTAACTCTGTACTGTATCCTCATGGAAAGTTTCTCCAAGTCGAAAAGAAAAGATTTGTTCCACATTTACATACTTGGCTTGTTTGAGCTTCTGTTGCCTTCGGAATTCCTCTGTTTTCCGATTGTTTTCTGCAATTTGTTCTTCTACAAGCTTTCTGTGTGCCTGTACTCTCTTATCCCTTTTACGAATAAAGCCTACTAGCTCACGGACCAGTTCATTCCTCTCTTTCCTTGCTTTGTCTCTCGTTTTCTTGTTCTCCTTTTCCATAGCTCGTTTCTCCCAGCGGTTTGAGGCTTGTCGTGTGTCATATTCTTCTTTCCAAGCAAAGTTTTTCTGAGTGCAGAAACTCTGCCAATATGCATAGAAAGGGTGGACTACCTGCAAGAAAAGATAATTTAAACAAATCACTTCTTTAGCAGGGAACACAAAAACCATACAGGACTTTTTGTAACAGTTTCGTTCAGAACTTCTATACAGGCTGCGGTTTTGCCTCAGTGTATAATAAATCACATGAAGGTTTAGAGAAACCTCTAATATCATCCTTAAAGTTTGAAAGTGTGTCAGTTCAACGACTTTGTCTAAACTATTGTCATGGTTTAACCCCAGTGACGACTCTTCTTCTGCCATTGTTACTCACATGGACAACACCACCTGAACAATAATATCCAGCAGCTTATCTACATGCAAAGTTCATGGCTGTGACCTCTGGGAGGTAAGTCACTACAGCTTTTCTCTGCTGTCACAAACCCCAGGTCTATAATAACAAATAAATATTCATATTTCATCCAATAATCTAAGTGAGGACAGATCACCTATCTCAGATTTCTGCCTCAGAAATGGATACCTTCTGTGCGAAGGATGCATGGCCATGAACGGATGACAGGGATCATCCTCCCCTTCACCAGCTGAATGAGCTGAGACTCTCCCCCCTCTCAGCTACCTAACAACCTGAAATACAAACACATCTCTAACATTGTTCAGTAGCCTGTACAGCAGCTCTTGCTGAACTCCCAGGTGGATTTTCTTTTGCCTACTACTCAAACGTAGAACTGATCATTTTTGTTTCTGCATCTAGTTCACCTGCAGGTCTTCTCTTCCCATGAAGGCCATGTGAGCTCATGACCCTGAGAATATATTTCCTGACTGCCTAGCACTGATAAAGCTGCCTCTCAAGCTCCTTCTGAACTCACTGAATAGACTGAACCAGAGATCATTCACATCACAGATTTTGAAGCCCCTGCAGAGTTTTTGTACCTCCCTTCTAAAACTCTTCCCCTGCGATACTCCCACTGTGTAGAGAAGTGGGCACTGCAATGCTGGAATCCTCTGACAGTGTAATCTCTTTGTCTGAAAATAAGACAACATGAAAAAACTAACTTTCTCATTTAACAGAGGCTATTTCCTATAAAATATCCCTATGAATCCTTAGGCGGGGCTGGCAGGGAAAAGGTAAGCACTGTGCTCCGGACCAGCGTGAACAAGACAGGTGCCAGAGCACGCTGATGCTCTAAGTTCAACCCTTTCTGTGGTTATTCATTTATTAACTGACAACATAACAGCTATTTTGAGTCTATAACAATATCTATCCCATGGCTCCAAAACAAGCAGTTTCGAAAAGGTTTTTCAAGATATCTCCATAAAAACATGGATTTTAGTTTGGTCATATGCACCCTGGGAATGATTTCCATTTGTTAAGTCACCCTGTAATTTTTCCTGGCATCCCAACATCCATTCTGACACTTCTTAAGAAGTTTGATTTGTAACTTTTGTTTCAAACTCCAGCCAAGCTTTGTACCATTGAAGTCACTAATTTTTAAGGTATGTATCAATTTAAATTTCATGCATGACAAGAATTCAAACGTCCTCCATGCATTTTCTTTTCTCAGTTCATAAAGGAAAGCATGCAGTATTTTCAGAATCAAATCTTACTACAGGCAAATTGCAGATGACAAGGTAATCACAGTGGGAGCTCACACGGCAGGTCAACCACCACATCTCCCATTTTCTAAAGGCTGTGCCATGCAGTAAGTGCTATGCAGTTTTCCCTATGAGGCAATACACTAAATGTTATTGGAAAAAAATTACCTCAATAACCCTTTCTGTGTTAAACACTGGCCAACTACCCTAATCAGGAAGCAAAGAAAACATCTGTTCTTTGTTTTAGATGTCTTGCACTACACGTAAGTTTCATTGGCACAACTGATGGCTGGCCCTGGGAAGTGTTTGACTGACAAGTAACCCTGAAGGCCTGGCCAACACTACAGTCCAACAGGAAATACCAATGTTAATTCACTTAAATATGATGAATAGGAGCATAAGCACTTCCTTTATAGTAATGGTCTACCACAGTGGAAAACACCACAGACACCTGGTTCTGTATGCACCTCTGAGGTCAGTGGGAACCTTTCCTTTGGGTCCTGTGTGGGACAAAGTAATCACTTAAGTCTCTTCCTTCAGTTCAGGTTTACACTTGCTCTTACCGTATCATAGTCACTTTGGGAATATCCAAACATAGGGAATTCTTCAATATCTTCCTGGGTCATATATTCCATCTCTTCTTTTGCAATCTTTTCAAAAACTCGTCGATATACTGTAAAGAATCCCTGACAGAAATAAATTTAAAAGTCTGACTCATTTTGCATGGCTCAGTAGTAGGCGTACAAATGCTCAGGTACAGTAGAGTATTTTTGAGAAGCAGAACAATTCTACAAGAGCAATTCAGAATCAGGGTAAAGGCCTTGTAAGCACTTGCTCTAGACAGCAAAGACCCTTCTACTTCACGCAGTTCGATTATACTGCATGCCTTTTATTTCCATCTCCTTCGGTGGTCTCTGTCTCTCTTACACCTATATTCAAATCTAAATGTGTTTTTAAAAAAAGTTTCAGCATGCTGGAGATGGCAAAAAGTTTCTAGTTACACAGGATCAAGTCTTGTGGAAGTTCCAGATATAGAATTCACTATTAAGTATCGTATCTAATGTGTTACTAGCTGACTCCTAGTACAGTGACACAAAGACAGGTAAGTATTTCCTCTGGCAGAAGTTCTTCTCATCACCTGGAACTTTTTTTTAAGTTATGACGAGTACCTTAAAATCCAACAGGGAATTCAAAAATCCAACAGGGATTTCAATTATAGGAAGCACACCTTCTCCAAGGACTGTTGTTACATTGCTTTTTTTCTCAGTTTGAAGCATTCTAGCTTGTTAAAAGTATTTCTGAATACACAGATGGCATTGCAAAGCACTGGAATGCTTCACTATACCATATAAACAAGTAATGTACACACACTCTGTAGCTGCACAGCATAGGTGGAAATTGTGATTAAGTAATTTTTGGATAATATGCAGGAATCAAAGCTTCCCTAAGCATCCAGCTTTTGTCTTAGATTTGTGTAAGAATTATTACTACCCATGCTAACAATTCTAAACATAACTTTTCAACACGAAACAAATGCCAGCACTTACAATGGAATTTAACTTGATCCATTAAAGATTAATTCATTCAATACCTTTTCATCATCTCCGTATCCAGAGTAACAGCTAACAGTGAAGTAGCGCAGCAGATCTAAACTATCATCTTGATAGTCTCCATTGACTCTCCCTTTCAGCAGAACCTCCCTGTGATTATCATACCTAGAAACAATCCACAGTGTCAAGGATTTAGAGACAAAGAACATTCCCCAGTGCTGGTAAACTAACACTACACCTATCACATCAATGTATAGCTCAGCCCAGTGTCCATAATTTGTGTCTCACATACAAAGAGAGGAAAACAAGGCAGGCCCAGCAAATATTCTCTCCCGACCTTCAGCTTACTTACTATTACTTTATTTGCAATATCTATAGCAGGAACTTCTTAATGGGCAGCTCGGAGGCAATCACACTTGAGGAAGGTGCTTCAGTAAGCTTTCAGAAATGGGTAAGCCATTGACAACTGATACTTGCACACACTCAAAACCCCCCAAATAAGACACCAGCACATAAAACCTGAAAACCAGTACTGTTACTTTCAAGGCGGGCAGAACTTAGCACAGGTGGTTTTGGCCGCATAATCTGGTAGATGCTTCAGCCCATTTGAAAAACAAGCTGCACAGAACATCCACAGCAGCAAATCTCTTAAAGAGATGCGTGCGTATTTCGAACCGGGACCTACAGAAACACAACACCACGCGTGGTATTAAGGCAGCAAACTCAACACCCGCATGCACTCCTAGGCCTGACCAGAGCAGAACCTACGCTAACTCGCCCCGTGCTCCTGGGAGGAGGGCGCGGAG